GGCTCAGATGGTTTTTATCAGACAGTTCGGCCCCAGCCAGGAAGCCCGATGGACACTTCACCCTGGGGATTAGGCCCCCCACCCTGATAAACCCGGTGCCGAAATTACAGGCTCCAGAGAACGAGGCTCAGCTGCTACCATGGGAGATTCTAGTTCTCGTGTGAAAGGCACTGTTGGCTTGGTTTTCAGGCTTTTGACTTGAGTCTGGAATCTCCCACCTTCCCACACCCCCCAGTCAATTAGGAGATGGGAGTGGGGATGAATTTCTCTGGGAAATCCCTCGGAAGCATCATTCATTCATTTGCACTACAAGAGACGTCCTGGAAATGCAACCCCACCTCCTAGGCTCTTCTGCACTAGCCTCTGCTGGGTCTTCCCCTGAGAGGAGCAGGGGAGCAGGGGCCGGAAGGAACCTAGGAGGGGCGGAGGGCTTTGATGGAAATGGGTGGGGCAGGTTTCAGAAACCCCTCACCTCCTGTGTGACTTCCTGCATCTTTTTTAACCCTCTCAGAAATATAAAAAGTTACATACTCCAGGGGGCAGCGTGGAGTAATGAACTAAGGACAGCCCACGATCTGCCTGGAGGAAAGATACCAGAGAGTATATTTTCAAACCAGAAAAGTCTCAAGTCACCAAAATGTGAGTCTTAAAAATGGACCTAGAAGAGGTGGCAGAAAGCCGTTAAAGCAGACCACAGCGGTTCAAATTCACGATCTGTGCAGCTTGGACTAGTTACTAGATCTCACTGAGTCTCAGTTTCCCCATCTCTGAAACGAGAATTGAGGCACATGTCTCAGAAGATAGTCATTGTAAGGATTAAATGTAATAATAGATAAAGCTCCTAGTACTGTGCCTGGCACATAGCAAGTACCTTAATAAATGTCTCTTCATCTCCTTGCTGATAATCCCATGTTCATCCTCGAATCTCCTCATCCGGAGAAGAAACTTAAGCGGGCCCATTATCAGTCTGGCCGTTGGGAATAGATTAAAAAGGGCAAGAAAAAAACAGGAGGCCAGAATAATCCAAGTGAGAGATGATGGGAGTGAATTAGTTATCCATTGCTGTAAACTTAGTGCTTCAAACCACACAAATTTATTCTCTTATACTTCCAGAGGCCAGAAATCGAAAATAGGTTTCACTGGGCCAAAACTAAGTTGTTGGCAAGGTCGTATTTCCTCCAGAGGCTCCGCGGGAGGGTCTAGGGCTTGCTTGCCTTTGCCGGCTTCTAGAGCTGCGTTTGTTGCATTCCTTGGTTCATGGCCCCTCCTTTCATTTTCAAGTCCAACAGTGTGACATCTTCAAGTGTCCCTGCTCTGCCTTCACGTCATCTTCTCTCTTCTGTGTTAAGTCTCCCTCTTGTAAGGATACTCGTTATTGAATTAGGGCCCACCTAGATTGTTCAGGATAATCTCAAGACCCTTAATTACATCTGCCAAGTCTCTTTTGCCATATAAGGTTATGTTCACAGGTTCCAAAAATTAGGACCTGGATATCTTTGGGGCCATTATCTAAACCATCTATCTATGAAAGGAGGCTTTGACCAGGATAGAAGTGATGAAAATGGTGGAAAATGAGCAGATTCTTGGATTGGTATTGAAGACAGAGTCGGTTCGTTACCTTACAGATTGAGTGTGAGAAGAAAGAGAAAGACAGGAACCAAGGAAAATCGCCTGAGCGATTTTAAGAAGAGTTTCCATGTATTGAAATGAAAGACTCTAGGAAACCATCTGGGGGCGGGGGGCGGGGCGGGGGAGTTGACTGATGTCAGAAGGTTCAGCTCGTGGACAGACTAAGTTTGAGACGCCCCATCCAAATGGGCAAGTTGAAAAGGCCACTGAGTATGTGAGTCTGAAGTTCAGGAGAGAAGTCTATGGCGGAGGCATCGATTGAGGAGCCTTCGGTGTGTCTTTCAGGCTGTGCGACTGCATGAAATTAAGGGTGTGCATATGGTTAGAAAGAAAAGAGGTCCAAGGACTGAGGTCTACGGGACTCTAACAGTTCAAAGTTAAGGAGATGAGAAAGAACCAGGACAGAGAGACTAAGAGAGAGCAGCCGCTGAGGCAGGAGGACAACCAGGAGAGGGGGGTATCCTGGAGGCTGGGTGAAAATAGGAGACAGGGAATGGGGGTGGAGGGGGACAACAGCTGAGCCCCTGGAGGGAGGCGGGTACCTATGGCACTGAGGGCATACCTCTCCAACTCCAGCTCCTGGCACCTCCCCACCCCCAAACGCACACCCACACAAACTCTCTCCAGCATGAAAATTAAGCTGGAGCTCCAGGAGCAAAGGTCTGCAGCTTTTGGCCCACACTCCTGCAGAGATGCCTCCTGGCTGTGGTAAAGCTGCGTCTTGTCTCGTAGACATCATCTCCTTCGTCCCATCTGTGATTCCCAGGGGGCACATCTGTCACCTGTTTCTGGAAATGGAAAACATCTCAAGCAAGGTCCCCATCTGCTTGCCACCCACTGAGCCGCCTGGCATTGTTATCAATTGGGTGCTCAGATCATTAGTTCCTGCTCGGAGAGCAGCAGCTGCACTAATGTCACCCATAGGGTGATTCCCCCGGGAGGCCTGTCTGCCATCCTGAGCCATTGTTTTCATGCTTTAAACTAGAATACTCTCTTTAAATAGTCCCATTATTCCCTGCATCATATATGAAACATTCATCAAGTCCTCAGAATCAAATTGAAGGCAGATTCTACATTCTGCAGTCTACACCAGACATCTTGAAACACCTACATAGCCAGGCAGTCAAGGAATCTCCATGTCTACCTCCTCCCCTCCCCTCCCCTCCCCTCCCCTCTCCCTCCTTCTCCTCTTTCTTTCTCCCTTCTCTTCCCTATCTCTTTTCCTACACTACCAATTCCCTGGGAATTTTAATTCAGTACTTCGACCATTGGTTCTCAAGCTTGATTGCATATTGCAATCACCTGGGGAATAAAAACACTGTCGATACCTGGATCCCATTCCCAGATTCCGATTTAATTGATCTTGGGTGTGAGCTAGGCTTTGGGATTTTAAAAGCTCCTGAGGCGATTCTGATGTGCAGCCACGTGTGAGAACCAGCTTCCTAGGTTACCTTCTGAGTAGCGAACCCCAGGGCAGTTTTCTAAAAGCTGGGGCAGGAGGAGTTGATCTCCCTCCAACTCCCTGCCCTGCCTCTCCCTCACATTCCTGGTTTATAGGACAAACTCTCAGTGCCAGTCTATGCAGTGTGAACACCACCCATCGACGCAGCGTGTTGTGTAAATGCCCTGTATCTTCCAAATGGCATGATCCAGCGGGAGCCCCGACACACTCTATCTACCTGTCACTTCTCTCCACAGCTTCCCTCCTAGGGCACTTTCAGATGGCTTTTTATTTCAGCAACATCAGAGTTTCAGCTGCAACTCTAGCTCCAGATGTGAGCAAAGGGAGCAGGGTAAAGAGGATGGAAATAGAAACCCAAGGGCACGCACACGTGCACACACACACACACACACGCTCGCACTCACGCACATGCATATGCACACATAAAAACATCATCGATGAATCAGATTTAGACATGGAATCTGCTGGTACGGAAATCCTGATAGAGAAGCCTCACCCACAATGCTCCACAATGTCTGTCCGTGTCACTGGTTTGGAGATTTATGAGGAAAAACCTGGGTCCCTTGCCTCCAAGGCTGGTCTTGCTCAATGAGCTGCACCGCTTAGAAGCGGCCTGCCTCTTCCTCCCTGCTGCCCGCATCTGGGATCGTTAATTGGCAAGATCTAAACAGTAATGTGCCCGGGCTAGATCCAAGTCTATTAAGTGCCATCAATTTCAGGCTCTTTGAAAATAAAACCTGGCATGAGTTTCCAGAAAGCAGCTTGGTACTATGTCTCAAGAGCTTGAAATATGGCCCGTTCATATCCTTTCATCTAATTACTTAACTTCCTATCCTAAAGAAATAATCAGAGATGTGGTAGAAGATTTATGTATAAAGATCTTCAACAAAGTGTTATGTATAATTGCAAAAAAATCAGAAGTCACTGTACACTTTCTATACTACAAGATGGGTTTAATATATCACGCTGTATCAGTACAGTCATATGAGGAAATACGGAGATTGTTAAAACAATATTTGCGAATAATTTTTAATGGCGTGAGAAAACGCTCACGATATAATGCTAAAGGAAAAAAATGCAGATAAAATGATTCATTTTTCAGTTTAACCTAATTGTGGATATGTGTGTTTATTTGTAGAGAGGAAAACACTGGACAGAAATAGACTGTGGTTGTATCAGTGGTTATCTGGATGGCGTGGTTGTGATTGATTTCTGTTTCTGCATTTCCCAAGCTTGTATTGTGTCTATAGTCTGAAAAAATAAAAATGCTCTTTTTTTTTTTTTAAAATGAAAAAGGTATCATTTCTGGTTATGGCAGCAAGCTCCTATCAGAGACTGATCTCAGAAGTGACCCCATAATAATCTTCCTCCCGTCACCGCCTCTGCACACACTGATACCTTCCAAGCCCTTCCCTGCTCTTCGCTGCCCAAGACCCACGGCGGCTCTGAAGCGGATGAGCAGGGGAGCGTTCCATCCAGCCCCTCGGTCGCCCAGCTGGGGGCTGGGGTTTGCCTGCTGGGCAACAGGATCCGTGACTCCCACAAGGCTGTCTATCCATAAGGACTGTGTGTCATTCGTGTTACTCTCCAGCATTACGAACTTAAAAGGAGCCTCGGGAATTAGAGTTCTTGCCCAGACATGCAGGGGCACGCTTATTCATTCAGTCCATGGAGGGATTTATTAAGCATCTTCTGTGTGTCGGGCGAAGTTCTCGCTCATTCCACTAACGCTGTTGCAGGTCATTACCTGAAGGAGCTGACTGGCAGGGCTGAGAAGGCAGGTTTAGGACTAAAGCTTGGGTTCCACGTGGAAGGAGCTCCACCCTGCTGAGTAGCTGCTTGCTAGGGGTTCGGAGGCGTGATCTCACAAAGGGCGCGCGCTCTCTCTGTCTCTGTCTCTCTTCGTCAGATGGAGGTGATTGTTGGGGACTTTGGGATCGTGGTGGTGCCTCGGGACGCAGCTGACACAGACCGAATTATGAATCACTCCTCAATACTCCGTAAATACAAAGTGAGTGCTCCATCTCCTTGCTGGTGTAGCTCTGTGAGGTGGTCCTTCTGTGACAGGCCGAGGGCTGGGTGGGGGTTGGGGGGGCGGATGGGGGGACTGGAGGAGTGAGGGCGCAGAAGGAGTTTAGTGTGGGGGGCTGGCGACCTACCCTCTCTACTCTGTCCCCAGAACAACATCATGGTGGTGAAGGATGACATCAACCATCCTATGTCTGTCGTCAGCTCAACCAAGAGCAGGTATGTTTGACTCATTATATGAGTAGAGAACAGGAAGCAGCCAGACCAAGGCTCTTAGGGCGAAACTCGGCAGCAACCAAAGTGTATCACTGGAGCCCTTTCATACTGCTTGGTGCTTTCCGTCCACAGTCCCCCTGGGCTTGTGAGAAGGGCTTCAGAGAAGGGCACGTCCTTCTCTGTCAGGTGCCAGTAGGAAGAAAAGGAAATGGTCAATCATAAGCACCCCAGTGAGATTCCTTTCCATGAGACCGTGGTGCAGAGAAACACAAAGGAATGAAATGAGAATAGCTAACACATTAAAATGCATACTGTGCACCTGGGCCATTCTTAGTGATTTCATGACTCATTTAATCCTTTTAATAACTGAGATAGGCCCAACTATTACCCTCGTTTGACAGAAGAGAAAACTGAAGAGCAGATGGGTGCAAATTACTTGCCTAAGGCCCCTCAGCTAGGAAGCGGCAGAGCTGGGATGAGGTGGAGTCACCAGGATGAGGGAGGAATCGTGGAGGCAAGAAGGCATTTCCTAACGGATTTCATTTCCTTAGCCTAAGCAATGGCTGGAAACGGGGTGCTGGGTAAACCCTTTCCCTGAAAGAGTGGGCAGGCCAGTCCTCCTGCTTTGCTCAGGGAACGATGTCTATCTGACCGCCGTCTCTTCTGGTCCAGGCTGGCCCTGCAGCATGGGGATGGCCATGTCGTGGATTACCTGTCCCAGCCGGTCATCGACTACATTCTCAAGAGCCAGCTGTACATCAACGCCTCGGGCTAGCGGCCACACAGCCTTCTGCTCCACTCTCCCCTCGTCCTCCGCCAAAACACCGGCCCCTCCAGTCTGTCAGTCCCCCTGTTTCTCTCCTGCCTCTCTGTTTGTCCATCTCCTCATCTTGACTGTTCTCCCCCTCCGCTGACTCAACCCTCCACAGTGTGGGGGACCTGCAGAGAACCACGGCATCCCCCATTCCGCAGTCATCTTTGGACAAACTTTCCTCTAGTCTCCGGGTTGGGAGTGGGTGAGGGAATAGGGGTGGGAATTGGGGGGAAGTGCAGTCTTTGGAGATGTGCGGGCATCCATATCCCAGCATGCTCTGGGGAGGTGGCTGTGGTGCCCATCCTCCCAGCATGCTCTGGGGAGGTGGCTCTGGCTCTTGCCTTCCCAGCATGCCCTTTACCACAAAGGGCTATTTTTCTTTTTCTCTCTTCTTTGATTTCTTTTTGTTTTGTTTCTTGTTTTGTTTTGATTTGTTTTTTATTGTTGTTATTCACCCCTCCTAGAACTTGGATGAAATCAGTGTCCATGGTTCTTTATGTTTGTAGACTTGATGCATTCCTGTGGAATTACGTCCCTTCGCTAGGAGACTGTAGCCAGCCTCAACACTCAGTAAGTGCGCAAGGGCCACACCCAGTGACGGAAGTCAAGCCACCTCCGCTTTCCCGACAGCCCCCCACACCCATCTACCTACTCACTCGCCCCCTAACCCCCTCTTCCCCCACAGCAGCAGCAGCAGCAGCCTGGGGTCAGGAGTGAGACTTTCAAGTTCTGAAACCTGGGAGGCAAGTCTGGGAATAGTAGGGTTTTGTAGAAGAATTTGAGTCCATTTCTTTGGCTTCAAAAGACTATTTTCCTGATGCTCTGGGCCTATGCTCACACAGAGCCGGTCCATCTCCATTTCCTGGTGGCCTCTGTACAGTTACTTATTTGGCCTGTGACTGATGGCAGAGTGTGGGTTTCCTGCCAGCCAGGCTTATCCAAGGATCCTTCAGATCACCATCTAAGCCATTGGAGGCCATACATAGCCACATCCCTCCATCTGAGAAGGATCATACACGCAAGGCCAAATCTTAATAATGCAGTCATTTCTGAAATAAAACATGCTAGGAATTCGCTCATCTCTGGAGATCTTTGCTAATTGCCACTCTTTATTGCCTGTTTGGCTGGGAAGTGTCTTTGTCATAATGTAAGTTCAGGGTGACCTAGGAGAAAGCAGTTTATTGCCCTGTTGGGAACTGATGATTCTCACTCACTATAACTATAACACAGGTGGTGCCTGAGGTCAATTCTTTCTTGAAAGCAGTGCCTTGGCCTTGTTTCTGGGGCTGATTGTATCTCCTGCCAAGCCCAGCAACCGTTGTCATCATCTGAGGAAATCTGCCCAGCAAGGGAGTGAGTTCACAGAACAGCAATTGTGAGGGGCCTCAAGAGCCACTAAACCGTTTCACCCCTTTACTCCCTATTTCCCACCTTCCTCTGCTGCCCCTGGAAACGGTACTAACGGACTCTGTTCTAGTTGTTTAGGCCCCGTGCATGTCCTGCTTGGAGAGCCAAAAGGAAATTATTCTCTCATGCTCTGTGTCTCTCATCTAGTCTCTTGCTGTTGGGTTTCTGATTGTCTTTGAGGGATGGTCCTTGAGCAGCAGAATAATGTTATCAAAAGTTAGTATCAGCCATGGTCCAGGAGGAGTAGGGTGAGATATGACGCCAGAAATAGTGTTCCTCACCTCACACTTCAAATCTGCAACATCCTTCAATAGCCTTTAGGGAAAGGGACTGGATTCAACAGAAGAGCATGGTAAAGTAGCATCCATGAGGGTGTTGGAAATAATCTCCAGGGGAGGAAAGGAAGACCCTATACTTGGGCCTCGGTGTTTGGCTAAGATTGTGGAATCAAATGAAAAAAACTTTAGAGATTAAAAGATGAAAGAGCAGAGATCCACTGAATTAAATAGCAGGTCCAAGGTCACACAGCAAGTGTAGGGTCTGGCAAAAGGATATTGTTTCCCTGACCAAAGGTCATCACACCACATAACCTCTGCCCCTCCAGTTCCCATGATACTGACCGGGTAAAGTATGTTTCTACTCTTCTCAGCCTTTATTTGGCATCTTTCTCCTAAATTATGTCTGACCTAGGTGCTCCCTATATATGGCTTTATATGTGTCAGTGATTGAGAGGAAGGCTGTACTTAAGATTCCCTTAAAAATCAAGAAATCTAAACAGCTTGGAGGAAATCCCAAAAAGTAACCCTCTGAATCCAAGAAACGATTGCTTTGTGGAGGCTAAGAAAGCCCCAGAATGCTCAAGATGACACTAGTGCTTGAGAGAGAAAGACAGAAGGGCCTTTGTCTGGGCAGAACAGTTGCGAGGCAGGAAGTGAAACGCAGGAAAACAGGGAGCTGCGTCCCCTGGGGGAACATGGCGTTATCAAGGATATGAAGTTCACGACCAGAGTTTACTGTGAGGATCCACGGGAGCAGATCTGAGAAAGACAAGATCTCTTTAGTCTCTTTGGTCCACTCTGCTACTCTGCCGGACTCTGTAGTCAAACCCCACTTAGTCCACAGCCCAAGAGAGGGGACCGGGCTGCCTCTGTGCTCGGTGTGGAGGTAGGAAGGCCCACAGGACGGGAGAGGAGATGAGCTAAGGAAAAGAATAGGGACAACAGAACTAGATTTCTAGGAGTGAAATGGGGCGGATCCTATCTTGGTAAATCACGGGGCTCATGTTACAATAGCTTTCCTCTAACACAAGGGAAAGTGACTCTCCCTTTGGGTGTAAGTGTCCGTTCCCCACCCTGCCCCATTCTTCATTCGCTAGGGGGAGATCAGAGCCCCTCTCTCAGTCCAGGGCAGGACATAGTGCTGTGGCCCAGCCAAGGTCAACACCAAAAAAGATGATGCAGAGTTTGAAGTGGTGCCCCAGGTGTCAGCAGGCTGACCTCCAGGCCCTGACTTCCTGTCTGTGGTCTTGTTCTTTCCTACGAAGGCCAACCCAAGGCTCAGAGACTGTGAGAAAGGCATGGCCTGGAGTGATTGTGTCAAGAGAGGCCTGAGCCAATAAAACGTGTTCCTCCCAGGAGAGAAGCTCTTTGTGTCAAGGACTGTCTCCTCAAGGAATGGCCCTCTGGGGGAAGGGGCCGTGCTGCTAGTGGTACCTCATTACCCACCCCCCATGCCAACCCCAGGCAGTTTCTGGGTCCTTCTTGCTTTCAAGTTCCTTGAATGTACATGGTAACAGGGAGGCAAGTCTCTTACTGAAGTGCCTGAAACCCAGAGCTAGAGCTTCTAGAGACACTGTCCCTCCTGTCTCGGCTTGGCCTGCCTGTCCTCGACATTCTCTAGTCTCATGCTCCAGCTTCTCAAAAAGTATAAGAGAATCTGCTGTTGTAATTAAGTAGAAAGCGAGACCCAACTGTAAATCTACAGCAAAAGGCAAAGAATTATAGGGAGAAACGACTTGTATTTTAACAGCCCAAACCTATTCTCCCAAACTACACACACACACACACACACACACACACACACTTCAGGAAACCAAGAGAGAGAAGCATGTTATATTTTATTTCTCAAAAGAGTAACGCAAAAATAAATCAGTGGAATATGAAAAGCTCAGGATCTCTCCCAAGGCTACTGCAGAAAGGTTGACAGAGGAGATGGGAAGGATGGAGACAGGGACCAATTTTGTAGCTCATCCACTTAGGACACCTTAGGAATAGCATTGTGGTAATGACGACGAAGATGTTCTGTCAGATTCATCCAATCTGCACCTTCCTATAGCAGCTCAGTAAACTCAGCTCTTCACATGGTTTCTTTCTCGTGTGAGTTTGGCGTGTCCTATTAGCCGATTCCGGTTAGTTAAGAACAAGTTACACCCTTTCCCTCCTTCAGTCCCAGGGCCCAGAGCTCAGCTTGATCCGGGTGGTCTCGAGGATTGGCACGGGGAGGGGGAAGCTTTTTTTTGAATCACTTTTTGGTCACCGAATCTGCCATTTTGAGAGTAAGATTTGCTTTATGGAAACCAGTTCATTAATAAAAACTACATTCAAGTTGCAGCACTATTTCACAGTGAAATATTTTGAGTAAAATTTTATTGCTTAGAATAGTCATGGACAAAAGTTTATCAACAAAATGTTTCAATTATGTTAATAAATAAGACAATGCTACTAGAGTCTCATATTTTGGTTTAGAATCTTCTCTGTGAGTTGCAGAATTAATCACTTTTTCTTCGTAGTCTTATTTGACAGGAGCCAACAATTGTAAAAACGTTCTTATGGCAGAAGATTTTCCGGCTGGTTTGGCCGCTGACACATGTGTAATATGAAAGTATATACAACCACACCCAAAGATCATAAACAGGGAAAAATTACTGGCAATTTTGTAAATTGTGCCTAAGCTTTCTCAGTTAAAAAAAAAAAATCAAATCTTAGGTCCTACTTAGTCTGTATAGTCTGGTATTGGTTAGCTTTAGCTCCTTAATGAAATTAGATCTTTATGAAATAAAAATATATTTCTTAAATAACTTGAATAACTTGCTTTTTGGCAAAAAAGATCTTAAGTAAAATGGAAATTGTTCAACTCACACTTTGTTTTGGCAATGTAAAAAAGCAAAAACTGAATAATTTGTTAATTGTTGAATCCCGCTATGGCTCTTAGTTATTCCATTTTTAGTTGTGACAGACATTGTGTATTGGTTTAGATCTAAATGATGATGATTGTCATTAGCTAATATCAGTCGTGATTCCGAAGGTAAAATAGCAGTTTCCTGTTAGGCCAGCTCATTTAAGGTTTAACTACTTGTTAGATTAGTTGGTCTTTAAAAAATCATTTTGGTTCTTAGTATTTTTTTAAGATTGAGATTAGTTGACTCTGTGTATACCCCTGTGGGTTTGGCGGCACAGGATAATGAAGCTTGTATGCCTTGTAAATTGATCACTTGTATTTATTATGTTTGCTATTTTGGTCACAAAGCTAAACATTTTTTTTCTCTGTTTTGAAAGTATGTTAACGATGAGAGCTTGTTTAAAATAAGGTATAAACACTGGTTTAATATGCTAACTTTCACTAACTCATAAAATATATGTAGTAAATATGAATTTACATACATGTACATACACATTTTTTTCCCTTATGACCCATAAGTAAGCTTCAGATCTTGGAATTTTCTAGAAAGTTCCGTGCAGCCCATAGTATAAAGAAAGCAAAGAAAAATACCTAATCTCTCCTTTCCAGGTGGGAAAATCGAACCACAGCAAGAATCCATAACATTCCCATGACCATGCAAAACATGAAAAGAAGACACAATAAACATATCCCTGGTCCTTGAGACTTGTTCCAAACATTAGACATTACTGAGTAGCTTCTTACTCTTTTCTGCAGCCTCCCAAGAGTACTGAAAGGAAACCACATCCCGGAATAAAATCACAAATACATCTGCTAAGAAATTTATAATCTATGAGCAGTTTCATTTCTAACCCCGTCTGCAAACAGAAATCCCCATGAGTCAAAGCAGATGATGATGTATGTGATCGCCTACCAGAGGCACAATTAACCGAAAAACTCTCAGAGGAGAAGCATAAGAAAGTTTTCACTACACATTATAGATACTGATGAAAAATCAGAAGGAAAGCTCCCTTAATGCGGCAGCGTCAGGTCAAGACCGGTAACAGAAGCTGAGTCCTGGGTCAGCTACCTCTAAGTCACACGCCCCTTCTCTATTTTTAGGGACAATCTATCCGAACCTCAGAAGTGAAGGAATCAATTCTATTCCAAGGGAGTCACATAAGTCAATTTTCCATTCCTCATCTCTTCTCAGAGATCATCTCCCATTGGTCAGGGGAGACATTTTATAACTTTAACAATCTGTCCCATTGGGGGACCCTTTTATGATCGCATGTACCTTGTATTTCTACCCACTGGAAATGAGATGATTCCCAGGGTAACCTTACAAGTCAGACGTTGTAAATGGCAGGGCCTCTAGAATGACTATTCGGAGGGCCACCCTGCTGACTTTTTCCCCATCTAGCTCACTATGGGAGCAAGAAAAACAAAAGTATCGTGTTTGAGTTACGCACATTTTTAGGTTTATGTGATATAGTAAGTAGTAAATCTTACCAAATTAATATACATAAATTTTCTAGGCACAGTTCTTAATTACAGCAAGAGATCTGTAGAATATGTGATTGAGTATGTCAAGACAGGATTATAAATTCACTTCCGCAGAGGGTTAAGCAGACCTGTTAGAATTTGGGGGTGGGGGTGTCAGTGTGGACAGAAGCAGAATCCTTTCCTCAGCCACTTGAGTAGATGGCCATTTCAAGAACTTAATTTATTAAATTTTAATTTATTAAAAAGGATGAATGATGTGTCACAAACTACTGATTTTACCTTTATTTTATAGCTGTTTTTTTAAAAAAAGACAATATTCATTATAACCCCTACCCTGCTCAGGTTGTCCCAGAAATAAATCCTTCTTGCTTAGGAGATGGCACTAGTTAAATCTCATAAAGTGCCCTCATGGTTTGAAAGGGCCACACGATGCTCAGAAAAAGGGATGAAGGATACTCTCTAGGATACGTTGCTCTTTCTATGGCATTTTAGCTTCCATTGCTTTGGTACCTCCACTATAGGTTTAGAGTTTAATAAAGTAGAAACTGACCACAGGCATCAAAGAATTGTTCTTTATTTAAAACGTGTCCATAAAAAGCCAAGGAAATACCGAGGTGAGGCAGCACCCAAGTTTCCTAGCCGATGCGGAAGCACCTCTGGTTTTCCCAGCAATTCCCATTGGTGTTACGACTGAAGAGTCTGTTGTAATCGGTTGCAGAAAGGAGCTGAGTGACAGCTGGGATGCAAAGACGTGTGCACAAGCCAGAGTCAGCTCAGCTTTGCCAAAACCCAACTGCTCCCACGGGAGTGTCTTGCAACATATGTTCTGTTGAGAAAAAAGGTTGCAAACCAGGGGCTTGTTGCAATAAACACCACTTGTGATGAACAAGATTCGTAAGTTTAAATTTATTTTTTTAGTTTGTCTTCGTCACTAGACAATCAATTCTGAGGGCAAAGACTATATCACCACTGTACTCCAGCCCCTGGCACACAGTAGGTACTCAAATAAATATATGTTGTAAGGATGGATGGATGGATGGATGGATGAATGGATGGATGGATTCCACCCAGCCCAAGTGTGAGTAGAAATATTCTCTGCTTTGAGGGGAGAATGAGATAAAAACACATAGATGCATGTCATTTTTAATGTCTGAAAAGTGGATCGAATTAGCACTAATAAATCTTCTAGATAATTGTACTTCTTTCAATGTCCAAACCACATTTTTCTACCACTTTGAAACCCAAAAGTAAATACCTTCCCAATGTTTGCTTTACTGGTAGGAAACACTGCTAAGATGATGCCGTGTCATCATCAGGAGAAAGGATGTCATTCCCAGGCCCAGAGTGCACAGGCAGCAGGGCACCAGCAGGCACCACTGTTCCAAGTGGGCCAGGCTGACAGCCTCTCGTTCGATCGCTGCTCACTTCTTCCAGCCTGAAAGTGGAGTATGTGTTTACGTGCTGGGTGGTGAGTGGGAGGGACTTTGACAAGAACATCGGATGCTATGAGGCAACAGTACTTTACTGGTCACAGTATGACTGGACTTCACGTTCTGTTCTAACAGTAAGAAGAATTTTATGTGTGAGCAAAGTCAAAAAAATTTTCCTTTGGTCACATTATGCAAAGAAGGAGCTGAGTATCACCCAGTAGGACCTGTCCGTACTCTAGGACTCTGAGGCACACAGCTGCCCGTACAGTCTGTCCTTCCATCCAGTCTACCCTTTGGGCTCCAGACCCTTGATGTGTCTCATACTCAATGCTATTTCCCTCATGCCCAGCATCAGGAAGCAAAGAGTATCACACTGGTGCATTAAGACATTTATCGGGCCACGGTCTCAGGGATGGGGCCAGCTTCCGCTGACATGAGCATGCCTATTCAACACGTTCAAATGTCCCCATCCCGCCTCATCCGCGTGTGATGGCTCCTGAGCCCTAAGGTCCGTATCCTGAGAACCTCAGTTGAGAAATGTCTACAGCAGCTTCACTGTTGCTCAAGAGCCTGAGTGTTGTAGCAGCCCGGGGGCAGGCTGTCCCTAATGTTCTCCAAGTTCTTCACGTCAGCCAGAATCCCATCTATGCTCGTCTCCAGCAAATGGAGGTGGCCCCTCTGCTGACGGGCCCTCTCCTCCAGCTCTGACATTAGGGGCCGCAGCTGGCTGTTGACCTGGGTCTTGGCTCGGGAAAGCTGCTGCTCCAGTAAGATCAGCCCCTCTTCATCCACACTGCCGGGCTGCTCTGTTTTAGAGAACGAGAAAGGAATTAACAGAGACAAGCTGTGGTTAGGTCTTCTTAAACATACGTGGGCCCTTCTGTACACTTAACTCCTTCCTGTGTCCACTTGCCTATAGCAAATAATATGCCATGCATTTTTAAAAGATTTATTGTAAATTAGAAATAACCTAGAAAAAAAATTCTAAGAGTACTAGCCAAGTTACTGTGTTGTGAACAGCCCAGTTCAAGCCTCTGGGCCCGATGAAGCAACATGAAGCTTAGATTTCTCTTTTTGTGTAAGGGTCAACAGTTTATGGAGGTCAGAGGGGACAGAGCACCGTCCGAGGTGTCTGCCCAACACTGCTCACCGTAGGATCAGAATCAACCCCAAATGATATTTTCTGAACCACCCTCAGGCAATATCTTACTGTTTGCCATTGGAAGACCTTTAGAAATTGGCTGGCCTTCAGGCTTTACAGAGCCCAAGGTATGCTTTGCTATTTGGTGATGGATTCCAGCTGTCAGAAAATGATGCAAGATTTCCTTGTGGCCTGAAACAGTGAGAACCTGGCTAGATATTAGTTTCTTTCCAATATGAACTGTAGTCATTTTTGTTCAGGTATGTTTGACCCATATGTCAGCATGAAGAGCACCTGGCCAGACCCGTTTTGTTTGAATAGGTTGGAGCAGCCCTTAGCCAATTCAAACTCAAGGTCAGGTTGCCTCACGCATCTAAGCTGAGCGATAGCATTTGATTGCATGGGTTTATTATACCTAGAATGACTAAACTGTTATTGTTCCAGGCCTGAAGAGAGCAAATAGAGTAGAAATGATACCATAACAAAAATGTTGGTCCAACGGATCAGTCCTTCACATGGGGGCGGGACAGAATTTAAGAATTTAAGGCCTTATGACATGCAAAGGAAGTAAAGCACACTTAGGGACAAAATAACCCTGTCCATGGGGAGGAAGCATAAGCAGCGCCAAAACAGCAGACGATGAAGAGACCTCGGTTTAAATCCCGCCCCCACAACTTACCGTGTGATATTATTAACTTCTTCAGCCTCGATTTACTCCTCTGTGAAATAAAATAATAAAACCCACCTCGTAGGACCTTGAAAATACCCAAATGATATTATACCACGGAAACACCTGGCATTGTGCCTGACATGTAGTAAATATTTAATAGTTCGCATCTACCGTTCTCACCCCATTCTCTCGTTTTCTCTTTAAAGGCCCCATTGGTTTCATTACCTTTTTTCTAGAACATTAAACAAAGCTGTTAAAATCTCGACTGGGGAGTTTCCCCCCCGCCTCCCAGAGTGTATTTTACTCTCTAGGGCTCATTGGATCACAAAGCAGACCCATCAGTAAAGCAACACAGACAATATTGGTCTCTCAGGGTGATGGTGATAACCCACAGGAAAATCAGGCTTTCAAGTTATTCTACTGAACTGAAGAAGCAGAACCAAGCCTTTTCTCAAGTGCTGCTGGAGTTCGAATCCCTCGTTCTGTGCCTGCTGCGGTCCAAGCTCCGGCAAACAGGCCAAACGAGGCTCTGACATCGGTTCTAGCTATATTCAGAATTTTGATTCGAATAGGTCTCCTTTGGGGAGGTATTCTGAGTTGTTGCCGCACTATGCCATCGAATCTATGTTATCTGAAGTTTCGTGCTATCTCAGAGACTACCACCTTTACACTTCTCCCAGGCTGCCTCACAGGCAGCACGAGCTTCCGCGACTGGATTCATCGAGGCATAACTGTGGTTTGGGGAGGGACAAAGGGCAGAATCAGCAAGTGATTCCTGACTCTTGACTTCTGGGACTGCCAGAATCTCTCCCCTCTCCTCTCACAGTGCAGAGCAGGCTCCCTCACCCCTCTCCTCGATTACCAACTCCTCAGCCATCTCATCGGTCTTCTGCATACCCTGCCTTTGAGCTCTCCTCTAAGCAAGCACCCAGTGACCTTTCGGAAATATACAGTGATAATGTTATTCTTCTGCTTAAAATTGTCTACTAGCTTCTCAGAATCAAGGCCAGAATCCTTGGCAGGACTGTCAAGACATCCAGGGTTCACTTTAGCTATGACATTCAAATCCTGCCTCCACAATTTACTTAGTGATCGGTGAGACATTACTGCTCTCTCTGAGCCTCGATATACTTCCCTAAATACACTTAGCTCTTTGACCTACAGACTTAGATGCTCAGGGACCCGTGTTAGAGATAGTAAGACAAGAGTCCAGAACATGTAAAGTTAACTGCCTGGTCTCGGGGCCTGGACACAAAGCAAACTTCCTGATACCCTTAAGTAGAGCTGGAACTCCAGTTCATCAGGGCTACGTTCTGGGAGAAGCCAGGAGCACAGGGCTGGACAGTGGTGGACACGCCACATACCTATTAGGTGCAGGATGCTGTCCAATGTGTTGAGCGTATCTTGGATTGTAACTCCAGCATCCTTGGCTCTGTTATCAACTCTTCGGGCTTCTGTAATTACCTGAGGAAAAATAAATACAAACTTGTCTTGAAAGGGTATTTCCCACATTGGTGAGTTTAAAGGAATCTCCCAGGACACGACGTGAGGACTCACCGTCTGCACGGCGTCCACGTCCATGTCGAGCTCCTGCTCCTTCCTCGCCAGCTGTCCTTCCACTTCCCTCAGCTCACTCTTCAGACTGGCCAGTCCCTTCTCCATGGCCAAAGCTCCGTCTGCTGTCACGTTGGCTTCCAAGTTCAGACTCCCTATCTCCTGGGAGAAGAAAAGGAGCCAGGGACGGAAGGAGAGAGGGGTGAGGCACGAGAACATTCCAAAGGCAACTGCAGAAAAAATACAGTTGCAGCCAGGCCCTGATGGAGTAAGTCAGAGGAACGAGGAGAGCTAGACTCAGGGACACGCCCTGCCCCGCGCTCTGTGGGGCTATGTCTCTGGGGACTCGGGGAGTCAGCAGTGAGACGCTGCTTCCCTCTCAGGTCGATGCTCAGCAAATGGCGGATGCAACGGGAACCAGTTTGGAAAACCTCGAGAACGAGAAGCTCATCTCATTCTCTGCCATGTTTCTTTGCCGCCACAGTCTTTTGAATGACTTTACTCCCTGAGACAGTTGAGTTTGGGGGTGTGGAGAATGAACGGGCTACAGCCTTCAGTTCTGTTTTTATTAGAACAAATTTTATCAATATCTTTATCAACAGCTATGATCAAGCACCAAATTGCTGATGTCTCTACGCCAGAAGCCATATAAAAGGAGGCACATGAAATTGGTCTCTACCCTCGAGGGTACTAAAATTAGAGATTATTTTTGCAAGTTACCAAGTGGTCCAAGAGTGAGGCCACATGGTCCAGATCCAAAAAGTTCCCTCTGGGCTTTCTAGAGTTACATAAGCTTTCTGGAGGTCATGCTTAAATACTATGAAGCGCTCTGCCTGCTGAGAAACGCTCCTTCTCCTGGAGCATGTAACATGGCCTGTGTGTGTGTGACCAGTCTGTCTCTCCCCGTCACACTGAATGCTCCTGGAAGAGAAGGACAGGGTCTTTCGCATCTCCACATCCCCAGCACCAAGCACAGTACTGGCTCATAGTGAAAAGAAAGAGAAAAATGAAGCTTACACACGAAACAGAGGGACAAGGGATGTAGACTCCAGAATTTCATCAGCTTGAATGAAAACACGGATGACGGTCGTTATGAGTTGAACTGTGCCCCTCCCCCCATTCATATGTTGAAGTCATAACCTCAGTACCTCACTATGCAACCTTATTTGGATGTAGGATTGTTGCAAATGTAATTAGTTAAAGCGAGGTCCTAGGGGAATAGAGTAGGCCCCTAATCCGATATGACTAGTGTCCTCATAAGAAGAGTTGGAGACACTCAGGGAGAAGAAGCCCATGTGATGACAGAGGCGGAAGCTGGAGGGATGTTGTGCAAACCAAGAAATGCTAAGGACCGACAGCCGCCCCTGGAAGCTAGGAATGTTTCTACGCAGAGTCTCGGAGGCACACGGCTCTGCCAACACCTCGATCGCAGACTTCCAGCCTCCGGAACTGTGGGAGAATTCATTTCTGTTGTTTCAGGCTATCCAGTTTGTGGTACTCTGTTATAGCGGCTTTAGAAAACTAATGTAATAGTCTATAGATAGATAGATAGATAGATAGATAGATAGATAGATAGATAGATAGATAGATATAGATATATATTTAAAAAAAGAAAACAAATAAAAAAACCAGGTTTGGCTGGTTCTTCTCACAATGTTGTCCAAAAAGGGAATTGAAAACGAGGGGTTCTAGCACCTAGTCAATGACGGCCCCATGACTCAGTCAACAAAAGGGGTGCCAGGTGGGTCTGGGGCCACAACGGACCACAACAGGACTCTGAGCCCACGGGTCAAACTGAGCCTAGTGCTGTCTCCCGTTCCACACCACCCTTGGGTTTGGAGGTGCTCTGGCCGCCCTGCATCTCGATTTCCCCTTACCTGCTCGATCTTGCCGGTGATCTTCAGGGCCTCCCCGGCCGCATTCTTTGCCCTCTGGGCATCGGCAGCAGCACCGCCCAGGGCGGCTTCCGCTTGCTTGGTCTTCTCGCTGGCGCCCTCGACCTTCTGGCTAATGTAGGAGAGTTTCTTCATGGCCTCTTCGGCTTCTGCTTTTCTGTCTTCGACCTGCAGGTCAAATTCTGAAACGAAGAGGAGAAAACATTGCGAGAAGGATAAAAACTAACTTACATAACTAACTTACGAATGAAGATTAAAAGGGCTCAAGTTTTTAAGAAAAATTCCAGAAACAGGGTTATTGCTGCCTGGAAACGTGAGTGTGGGAAGCTGTGGCTATGACTCCTCCTTATCTGGGAGAAAGCATCTTAAAAGCAAAGCGGCCTCAAAAGGGCCATAATTAGTGCTTCGCTTAGGGGCACTGACAATCAGCCTGCCCTGGGTCCCCACCACTGCAAGAGTCTGAACACCCCAAGATGAATTAGAAGCAGGTGGAATCCTTAAAGCCCAAAGTTTCAAGCCAGAGCCTTAAACACTGAGCTGCCAATGACGACAGCTGACGACTGGATGGAATGGGTAGAGAGGTATTCTCTGTGAAGAAAATCTCAAGACTTTAGGAATGTTGTTTTGTTGTTGTTGCTCTTTGGTGAAGAAGCCTGAAACTTTAACCAAATCTCTACAAGGCACAAACCCAAATTTCCTGGGACCTGGATGCTGTGGCAAAGTTTGCTCCATTATTACCACAAAGCAACTGTATTAGTTCTATGTGGGAGCTAAATAGACTACCATAAAAAAAAGAAAAACTATTGGTATAGTAGTGGGATGCTGAATCTGTGAAGGGCCTTCGAGATCACTAAATTCAAGCTTCTCCCTTTAAAAAGAGGGAAGTTAGGGTCTGGAAAGGCTATGTAATTTATGCGTGACCTACGGTCACACAGCGAGCTCAGCCTTGTCTCGTGGCACAGCAGAGATGAGAACTCAAGCCTTCTGTCTTCCAGTTCAATTCTTTCCATGACATCAAATATCAATGAGTTTTTTCTTTAGAAAGTTACTTTTTAAGCACCTATTAATACCCCAATATACCTACCACTTAGAGAGACAGATGAAGATTCAAAAATAAACCAAAGTCATGGTTATACCTTTAAAACATCAAGTGACCCGACCCAGGAAACACTCACCTCTGAGGTTTTTTAAGATGTTTTCAACTTCATAAAAAGTGGCATTGCCCATACTTAGTGCTTCTTGGGCTCTGCTTTTTGCAAGGTTGGCACGGGAAAGCAGCTGATCTGATTTCTGTCAATAAACAGATAGAACAAGATTAGAGTAAATGTAACATACACCTGGGAAG